TATGCCTGAGCTGAGTCTGTGCATTATCAGTTGAATTAGGTAGAGGTCTGGGATAGGTCACAGCTAAATACTAGGTGGAACAGATTGCTTAGCATTTTGGTTTTGTGTTAAAGATGAAGAGGTCTAGTGAAATAAAAATTACATATCAGTGTTTAAAAGATCTCTCCCCACCTTTAAAAAATCGTGTTAGTTTGTTTTTGAAGTTTTGCCTAAATGAATTGCCCAGCCTAGAAAACCCCCAACCACCCAAAAACTTTCTCTAAAGGCAGGTTTCAGAGTAGCAGCCGTGTTAGTCTGTATCCGCAAAAAGAAAAGGAGGACTTGTGGCACCTTAGAGACTAACCAATTTATTTGATCATGAGCTTTTGTGAGCTACAGCTCACTTCATCGGATGTATTCAGTGGAAAATGCAGTGGGGAGATTTATATACACAGAGAACATGAAACAAAGGCAGTTGACAAAGATGGGACATAGGTCTCTTACTAGGATTGTCAATTGTAAAGAAAGATTTAAATTCCAATCATGCTATAAATTTGCTCCGTTCAGGGATTTTTCAATAAAAAAGTAAAATGTTAAAAGGCAAAAGCCATGGCTTTGTGCCTGCATGCGGGCCAGGGATAAGGCTGCAGCCTCTGACACTGTTGACCCACCCCACACCCTCTCCTCCCTTTCTGAATTTTTTTTGATCTGAAACAGCAACCTTCTCCGATTCACCTCTTAAACGTCTGTTCAGTTTTATCAAATATAGTTGTACTGTTCAGTGGACTATCAGATGAGTAAATAAATACCATTAACAAAAGCATAGGAGGGAGTACATGATGGACTATATTTTGTAGCAGTATCTGGAAAGCAACAATGACTTTCTTTGTTTTTATCATCACAATCAAGGGGCCCGAAAGCATGATTTTTTCTGTTCTTACTGATATTAATATATAACACTTTACATTTTACTTTTATGCAAGCTGTAACTCTAGATACTCAACAGCATTAAATCATACAAGTCAGTCGATGAGAGAGCTGAGCAATTACTGAAAACAGGTGTTATGATAACAAAAGGCCTAATGCAGAGAGACTGGGGAGGAATTAAGAGGCACTGCTGAAGTGAAAGTGTGTATAAGAATAAATCATGTCAAATCAACCTAATTTCCTTCTTTAACCACTAGGCCAGTAGCCCTGTTAGGGGAGAAGCAATAGATATGTTATAAGGCTTTTGACACAGTCTCACATGACATTCTCATAAGCAAACTAGAGTAATGTGGTCTAGAGGAAATTGCTATAAGGTGGGTGCAAAACTGGTTGGAAGAGTAGTTCTCAATGATTCGCTGTCAAAGTGGGAGGGCGTATCTAGTGGAGTGCTGCAGGGGTCCATCCTGGGTCTAGTACTATTCAGTATTTTCATTAATAACTTGGATAATGGAGTGGAGAGTATGCTTATAAAATTTGTTGCTGACACCATGTTGGGAGTGGTCGCAAGCACTTTGGAGGACAGGATTAGAATTCAGAATGACCATGACAAATTAAGGAATTGGTCTGAATTTGACAAGATGAAATTCAATAAAGACAAGTGCAAAATATTACACCTAGGGAGGAAAAATCAAAGGCACAAATACAAAATGGGGAATAACTGGCTAAATGATAGTATTGCAAAAAAGGATCTGGGGCTATAGTGGATCACAAATTCAATATGAGTCAACAATATGATGCAGTTGTGAAAAAGGCTAATAGCGTTCTGTGGTGTTTTAACATTGTATGTAAGACACGGGCATTGTATGTAAGACACGGGAGGTAATTGTCCCACTCTACTCAGTACTGGTGAGGTCTCAGTTGGAGCATTGTGTCCAGATGTGGACACCCCATTTTAGGAAAGAGGTGGAGAAATTGGAGAGAGGCCAGAGGACAGCACCAAAATTGATAAAAGGTTTAGCAAACCTGACCTATGAGGAAGGGCTAAAAACACGGTCGTTTTTAGTCTTAGACTCATAGATATTAAGGTCAGAAGGGACCATTTTGATCATCTAGTCTGACCTCCTGCACAGTGCAGGCCACAGAATCTCACCCACCCACTCCTGCAATAAACCCCTCACCTATGTCTGAGCTATTGAAGTCCTCAAATCATGGTTTAAAGACTTCAAGGTGCAGAGAATCCTCCAGCAAGTGACCTGTGCCCCATGCTACAGTCTTGAGATAAAAAGACTCAGGGGGGACCTGGTAACAGTCTTCAAAGATGTTAAAGGCTGTTACAAAGGGGACAGTGATCAATTGGTTGCCATGTACACCAATGGTAGGAGTTGAGTGGCTGAGGGGTAATTTGTGTAGGCCTAGATGCCCATAGACCTACTGCACACTTGGGAGGACATGGGGCCACGTGTCTCTTGTTCTGGACAAACTCTAACTTATCAACATGTATGAGAAAAATCATGCAGAACTAAGTGTGCAAATGTCTTTGCCCTTTCAACTATGGTCCCTAATCTACTTTGCCCCAAATAGAAATTCCTCCTTGGGGGAGGCCAATAACTTTCTGAGAGAGAAGCAATTTGAGGACTGCCCAGGTTGTGTTGTAGATGCCCCTGGCCAGAGCAGCCATGGTGATGACCCCACTATAGCAGGCTTTTACAAAGAAGTGGATAAAATCATGGAGGACAGATCCATCAATGGCATTAGCCAAGATGGTCAGAGATGGAACCCCATGCTCAAGGTTATCCTAAACCTCTGACTACCAGAAGCCAGGAGTGGAAGATGGGGTGGATCACTCCATATTTGCCCTGTACTGTGCACACTCAAGCTCTGGCATGGGCCACTGTCAGAGACAGGATTCTGAGCCAGACGGACCATGGTCTGTGACCTAGTATGGCAGCTCTTATGTTTTTGATGACGTGAACCATAAAATCAAAGATACTTGTGTTAATTTGTGCACGGAGAGTGTTTAAAATATTACCACGTTGGCATGCACACTACAGTGCCTCTGTTTCACACAGAATCGCTCAGCTCAAAGACCAGAGCTGGTGGACAAAGCGCCAGAGGCCGACGACCCCGCCAGAGTGCTAGATAAAATAATCAGAACGGCGTGTGGAATGTTGAACGTCGTCTTTGTTCAGCCGCATTTCGCTAATGTCATACAAAGTATTCTTACAGCTTCATACAAGCTCTGAAACATAATTTCTGTCAACTCATTTCCCCAGGCACACATGTCGTTTTAATTTTATCCCTCCAAACTTTAACCCTCAGCGAGTACACGTTTAAAACGTACTCTCCGCAGGCCTTTGAATTGCGTTAGCACTGGGAACATGACACTTGGAGGTGCCATATAAGGGCATGGGGAAGTGACACACCCCCAGCTATGCCATATGAGGGCGTGGGGCTGTCACACAGGAGCCCCGGGGCATGCCACAGGAATGAGTGAAGACCAGTTTCCCAGCTGGCTCGGGCAGTCCCAGGGTGGATTGTCCCCAGCATTGGGCCCCAAGTGCTTTCTGATTCAGCCCCTCCTGGAGAGGGAGCGGTGGCTCGTGACACGGTTGCTCGGCCTTGGGGTTGCTGGACAGACACATGCTCAGAGGCAGAGGGACACACACAGAGACTCACCTGTCCTGCTGCTGCCCATGGGGAGGGGGCTGCCAGGCATGGAGAGAGCAAAACTCCCAAGCTAATGGAAGGAGGCAGCCATAGCTGATCAGACGGCTCCCCCTGCCCCAGAAACTAGCTCCTAGCCCACCGACCAGCCCTCCCCCCTCACACGCCCCAGAGGCAGGGGGATGTCAATGCTCAAGCCACTAGCCCAGCCTGACTATCCACGCAGGGACCTGGCAAGGTGGGTGGGGGCGTTTGACGAGGCAGCCGGCCAGCTTTGAGTCAGAGTCAATGAGCTCATGCTGAGAGGCTGGGCCCAGCCCTAAAGACGCACTGCCAAACCTGGACTGGGAACTCACAGGTGTGCAGACAAACAGGCAGACGGAGACGGGTGGAGCTGGGATCCCAGGCCAGAACCCTGCCACCAGGTGAGACAATTCCCCATGGGGGTGGGGGGCTCTTCTCTTCCACCCCACCCCTTCCTCGTCCGCACAGCCCCCTCCCCAAGAGTCCGTTTCCCCAGCAGAGATGGAGACAACTCCCAATCAGAGCCCATCCAGCCTGTCTCCCCGCAGTCTACTCCCTGCCCTTCCCTAGGGCAGACCAGACTCACAGCTGCCCTGGCACGAGGGGATCTTTACTCCCCTTAGCACCCTGCTCTCGGCTAGAGGCCCCCGCCCCCCCACCCGGGGCTGTGGTGGATGATTTTCCAGCCAGGGCTGTTAGGTGTGGCCTGGGAGTCGCTGTCAGGACCCAGCGGGGTTTGGAGAGGACTGGAGGGAACGTTACCAATGTGATTGTGAAGCCCAGGGGCTGTTGTTTGCTCTGCGCTCGAAGCCACCTTTAAAGCACCTTTGAAAAGAGCTGACAGAAAGAAGGAACGATTCTGAACCAGAGACTGGGGGGGACTGGCTGGCTCAGGGGGGCGGGGGGGTGGGACATGGGGCCCTTCCCCTCTTGGGGGGCACTGGGGGATGGGGCATTGCTGGCTGAGACAGCTGCTGTCCCTGGAAGCTCAGGAATGGGCTGTGCCCTGGCATTCGGTGCCACCCTCCCTTCCCCGGTGTCACCCCCCCTCCCCTGGGCAGCCAGGTAATCCCCTGCAGGCAGTGACTCAGGGCAATGGAAACCAGGGAGGACGCAGGTAATCCCAAGCACAGACACAGCCCGAGAGGGGAAGCCCACAAAGGATGAGGGGACCCAGCTCAGAGGGGACCCAGCCTTAAGGGAGCTGGTGCGGGGGGGGTGCTCCCTAGTAACTCTGGGCTCAACACCCTATCCCTGAGCTGGTTGGGCACCCCGATTCCCCTCCCCGAGGGGGAGCTTAGCCATGCCTGGGGCTACAGCAGCTGCAGCGGGGCAGGGCAGGGCTGTGGCATGTGGCTATCTGTGTTTCTGTCCTGTAGGTGCCCCTGCGGCCCCATGCTGGGGGAGCCCTTGGTGCCTCATGGGGGAGGAGATGGCTCTCGGTGTGGGGAACGGCTGCGCTGGGAAACCTGCAGGGGATGAGGCAGAGACTGTGGTGATGATCCAGGAGGGGCCCTCGCGGCCTGAGCCGTCTGCCTGGACCCCACGTCCCCATGCCCTCCGCTGCCTGGCCATAGGCAGCATTGTCTGCTGCTGCTCCTGCCTGGGAGTGCTGGCCCTAATCTATGCTGTCAAGGTGAGGGGGGCTGGGATACAGCAGGGAGGATGGGGACATGTCTCAGTGCTGGACGGTTCTTGGGGCTGGGATATAATAGGGCGAGGGGGGGCTGGGGCCATGTCTTGGTGCTGGAGGTTCCCAAGAGCTGGGATAGGGTGGTGGGGTCATGGGGCCATGTCTCGGTGCCAGGGGTTACTGGGGACTGGGATGTAGCGGGGGGTCGGGGCCATGTCTTGGCATGGGGGGCTACCAGGAGCTGGGATATAGCGGGGGGTACGTGGCCATGTCTTGGTGCCAGGAGCTACCGGGGACTGGGATATAGAGGGGGTACGGGGTCGTGTCTCGGTGCTGGGGACTACCGGCGGCTGGGATATAGCAGAGAGGGAAGATGACAGGGCTATGCTTCTTGTGACTCTCCCTTTTCTCCCCAGGCCAACGAGAAGCGGAAGACAAACTCTCCCGACGCAGATCTCTGGGCCCGGAAGTCCTTCCGGTTCTCCCTTCTCAGCATCGGGGTCTGGGTGTCTCTGCTCATCCTGGTGCCGCTGCTCATGGGACTCATCTCCTACCTGATTGCCAGGGCTGAATGATCTCCTGCCACATCCCCATTGGCTCTGGGGGATCAGGGGGATTCCCAGATCTGATTTTCCTCTCCTGGGACTGCAGGATGGGAGTTGCCCTGGCTGCATCTCACCACAACTGGCCTGGAATCTCCCCAGCCCTGCCAGTTCTGGAGCAGCTCTGGCTTCTCTGTGGCTTGGGACTGAGACTTGAGAGAGACCGGGGTGGGGTGTGATACAGGATCATCCGTGACTGTCTATTCCCAGCAGAGATGGCAATAAGGGAACCTAAAAACATCAAGGAAAAATCCATGGCTGGTCGGGCTAAGGACCAGACCGATTCCGTTCCTAGACGGAGATGGTAAAGCTGTTAATAAGGATGTACAGAAGGCAGAAGTGTTCCATAAATATTAGGGCTTTGTATTTGGAGAGAAGCAGGATGATGAACTCGCATCCCATGAGGATGGTGAACTACTTTCCGGCCCATTAGTGACCGAGGAGGATGTTAAACAACGTCTACTAAACATGTTCACATCACAGGCCCAGGTAAATCGTCCCCCAAAGTCCCAACAAAGTTGGCGGAGGAGATCGCAGGCCTGCAAATGTTTATTTTTAATAGATGTTGGAATGAAATGCCAGAAGACTAAGAAACAGATTGATAGAGCCAGAAGAGTTCCCAGAAGTCACCTACTACAGGACAGGCCCAACAAAGAAAATAACAGAACGCCACTAGCCGTCACCTTCAGCCCCCAACTAAAACCTCTCCAACGCATTATCAAGGATCTACAACCCATCACTCTCACAGATCTTGGGAGACAGGCCAGTCCTTGCCTACAGACAGCCCCCCAACCTGAAGCAAATACTCACCAGCAACCACACACCACACAACAAAAACAGTAACCCAGGAACCTATCCTTGCAACAAAGCCCGTTGCCAACTGTGCCCACATATCTATTCAGGGGACACCATCATAGGGCCTAATCACATCAGCCACACTATCAGAGGCTCGTTCACCTGCACATCTACCAATGTGATATATGCCATCAGGTGCAAGCAATGCCCCTCTGCCATGTGCATCGGTCAAACTGGACAGTCTTTACGTAAAAGAATAAATGGACACAAATCAGATGTCAAGAATTATAACATTCATAAACCGGTCGGAGGGCACTTCAGTCTCTCTGGTCACGCGATTACAGACATGAAAGTTGCGATATTACAACAGAAAGGCTTCAGGACCGGGCTCCGGCGGGAGACTGCTGGATTGGAGTTCATTTGCAGATTGGATACAGTTGACTTAGGCTTGAATAGAGACTGGGATTGGCTAAATCATTATGCAAGGTAACCTATTTCCCCTTGTTTTTTCCTCCCCCCCTCAGACGTTCTTGTTAAACCCTGGATTTGTGCTGGAAATGGCCCACCTTGATTATCATACACATTGTAAGGAGAGTGATCACTTTAGATAAGCTATTACCAGCAGGAGAGTGGGGTGGGGGGAGAGAAAACCTTTTGAAGTGATAGACACCCATTTTTTCTTGGTCTGTGTGTATAAAACATCCTCACTGCATTTTCCACTTTATGCATCCGATGAAGTGAGCTGTAGCTCATGAAAGCTTATGCTCAAATAAATTGGTTAGTCTCTAAGGTGCCACAAGTACTCCTTTTCTTTTTGGAAGAATGCTAATACTGTGCCAGGCAAGCAGGGTGACCAGGGGAATTATAGGCTGGTTAGCGTGACATCAATTCTGGGCGACACAAGGGAAAAGCTGATAAGGGCTTCCATCAACAAAGACTGAAAAGATGTAATTAAAGTCAGACAGCATTGTTTTATGGAAAAGACATTTTTGTCAGACAAAGCTGATTTAATTCTTTAACGAGGTTACAAATTTGGTTGATAAAGGCAGTTGTGTAGCTGTAATATACTTAGGGTTTTTGTAAAGCTGTTGACTTAGACTCATATGACATTCTGATTAAAAATATAGCACAATGCCACATCAACAGAGCACAAGTTAAATGGATTAAGAACGGGCTGACTGGCAGAGCTCAAGAAGCAGCTGTCAATGGGGGAGTTTCTAGTGGGGTTCTGCAGGGATCGGTACAAGGCCAGACGCTATTTGACATTTTCATTAATGATCTGAAAGTAAATAGGTGCTGATAAATTTGCAGAGTGTCCAGCCTCTGTTCTGCTGGACACACAGAATTCACAGACCTGCTGTTCCCAAAGGAACACCACACCTCAGCTTACCACAGGATCACAGCTCTGCTTAACACACAACACTTCCCTTTGTTTATGGTGAAAAGAAGTACAGTGAAAGCAAACAACCGTGATTCATATAATAGCAATTAGGTAAAAGTATTGGAAACAATGGGTTACGTTTAAAACAAAATCATCATGTGCCTTCTAGAGTCTAGATTTAAATAACAAGACACTTTCATGGTCTTATGAAGTTTAGGTCACCCAAAGTCTTTCTCTCAGTGAGCAACAAGCAGATCGGCTGTGATCCTCCATTCATAAGACAAGCAGGCAGGCCGCTTGTCCCTTGGGTGAAGGATACCGTATCTCTCTCTGCATGCTCCTCCTGATATACCAGACGAATGCTTTGATCTTAGTCATAAACAGGACAACCCTTCCTATTGTGTGGTTCTTCCTGTAGATTTTGTGATCTCTTGTTGACTTCGCAGTCTTGATTAGCTGGTGGCTCCGGATGCAAATAGATTTACATTGTAAGACACACAATACGCAATGGTCAGCCCGGGAGAGATAAGCACCTCCACCCTCAGTTGACCTGTCTTAACTTACACACCTTAAAACCATAATGTTCAGTACAGAAACATAACTTCTTAAATATTCTTATCATTTTGCAAAGATTAAGCTGATTAGTGGCCTACTGGGTCAGTGGAGACCTCACATGCCCCTCCACTGGTGAATTATTATGCATATACCAGCCCCAGGAGACGCCTGTAAACCTCTGTGCATCACTTATGTCATCCATCAGTTAGCATTAAGGGATCTCTGGGTCAGAGTAAGCTGGGCCCATTCAAACAAAAGGTGCCCTAATGTAATGCCGACAGACCCTGGTCATCGGGATTGAACGTGGAAGCTCTGGAGCTTAGTGCCTGATACTCTACCGCATGAGCTAAAAGCCACCTGGCTGTTAAGCAGACTCATTTTATCTCTCTCTTTAAGTGGTCTCGGTGCCGCTAGATGGGACAGAACACCGCTCCTGGGAGGTATGTGGGTTACACAACCAAATGCAGAGCTGGGCTCGAGAAACGCTGGCCAGAGCACGCGAATGGGGGACTGTAGCCAGGGCAGCAGTGACGCCAAAAAGGATCTAGGGGTCAGGGCGGACAAACACGAGCTCCCAGGACGGCGCGGGGGGGCACAAGGGGCTGACGCGAGCCACGGATGGGTAAGGAGGGGAGGAGCGCAGAGGAGCAGGAAGGTGAATCGGGCGCACTCGGGAGAGGGATACGGGGTCCCGCCACCCCACGTTCACATCCAGCCCAGAGGCCTTTCTGGAAGATGCTTTAGCCCAGGGGTAGGCAACCTATGGCCCGCGTGCCAAAGGCGGCACGCGAGCTGATGTTCAGTGGCACTCACACTGCCTGGGTCCTGGCCACCGGTCCGGGTGGGGTGGGAGGGGTGGGGGGGCTCCCCGTTTTAATTGAATTTTAAATGAAGTTTCTTAAACATTTTAAAGACCTTATTTACTTTACATACAACAATTGTTTAGTTATAGATTATGGACTTCTAGAAAGAGACCCTCGAAAAACGGTACCATGTACGACCGGCAGGCGAAACCCTAAATGAGGGGGACTCAATGAAGACTCGGCACTGAAAGGGGGCCGACCCCGGGTGCAGCCGAAGGCCGGTGGCTGGGCTCCGTGCAGGGGGGCCGGGGGGACACTGGCCGCCCCGGGCTCTACGGGGCCTCGGGGGCAGGATGGGTCCAGGGCAGCCCCCCCTGCTGCAGTGCCCCCAGCCCAGCCGCCCGAGGGCCACAGGGGCCACCGGGGGGGGGGGGGTCACGTGACCGGGGGGGCACCATGGGGTCAGCTGGGGGTCAGCATTTGCCATGTGACAGCCCAGGGCACCGGTCAGGTCACGTGACCAGGCTGCACCCCCTTTGGCGTGAGGGCCCCTAACCCTGCCTCTGGGGTCAGAGGTCACCTGGCTGCCCCTTGGCTGACCCAGGAAGCTGCTCCTCTAAGAGCTTCCCCCTGTTCCCCTCCGGCGGGCCCTCTCTTGGCTCCTGATTGGTTAGTTTTAAAGAGCTACCCGCCCCTGTCCTCGGCTGACTGGCAGTTTGGTTTGTCAATCTTAGGGCTGCTCCACATTCCCGTTCCTGGTCGGTCAATTGAGCCCTCACTCAGGTTCAAACCCCGCCTTGGACTCCTCATTGGTCCGGCTGTCCGCCATTCACCACACCCGGCCCCACCCCACAGCTCGACTGGACAATCAGGCGGCGGCTTAATTCTTAGATCCGCCTCTTATTGGCTCCCCGACTCATGACCCCTGGCTCGCGACTCACTCTTCCTGCCTGCTGATTGGTCGTCTTGCCTCTCCTCCCGTGGGGGTGGGACAGTGCGGGCCAATCGGGGCAGACGTAGGGGGCGGGGCTGGGAGTCCGGCTCGAAACCGAGGTGCCGGGTGAGTGGGCGGGAGCGCGATGCTGGGGGGGGAGGCCCCCTGGGGGGTGTACGTGGGGGGGGGGAGGCCCGTGGACGCCCCGTGTGTGTGGGGGGGCTCGGGGACGCCCCGTAGGGGGGGGTACGTGGGGGAGGCTCGGGGACGCCCCGTGTGTGTGGGGGGTACGTGGGGGGAGGCTCGGGGACGCCCCGTGTGTGGGGGGGTACGTGGGGGGGAGGCTCGGGGACGCCCCGTGTGTGGGGGGGTACGTGGGGGGAGGCTGGGGGACGCGCCGTTGGGGGGGACGCCCCGTGGCGGGGGGGTACGTGGGGGGGGACTCGGGGACGCCCCGTGTGTGGGGGGTACGTGGGGGGAGGCTCGGGGACGCCCCGTGTGTGGGGGGGTAGTGGGGGGAGGTGGGGACCCCCGTGTGTGGGGGGTAGTGTGGGGAGGTCGGGACGCCCCGTGTGTGGGGGGTACGTGGGGGGGAGGCTGGGGGATGCGCCGTTGGGGGGAACGCCCCGTGGCGGGGGGGTACGTGGGGGGGGCTCAGGGACACCATGTGTGGGGGAGGCCACGTGGGGGGGAGGCTGGGGGATGCCCCGTTGGGTTCCCTGGGTGGGGATCAGGGCACCCTGTGGTGGGGCGCTGGCGCGGACCCAGTCAGTGGTTGCGGTGGGTGGGATCCCCAGCTCGGCTGGCTGCACCCTGCACATTCCCCGCTTGTTCGCTCAGCATCACCCCTGCTGCCACCCAGCCTGCCCTCGCTGCCCAGGCCGGCTTCGCCTGGCTTAGCTCCCTCACCCTTCTCCTCCTGTTCCATCCCACCCGGAGCTCCCCCTGCCCTCCAGCTCCTGTCTAGACCCTTCCAAGATGGCTCCCCTCAAAGTGGCTCTTGCTGAGGTCTGATCACCCCAAGCCTGGGGGCTGGGAATGGGGTACAGTGAAAGGGGGGCTGGCTGGCTTGGGGAGGGAGTGTTGGGAGGGGGTCAGATGGCTGGGGAGGGGAGGCATGTGAGTGGGGAGGGGGTGCTCCGTGGGAGGAGGCTGGGATGGAGGGGCACGTGGGTGGGGAGGGGGCACTCTGTGGGAGGGTGTCTGGGTGGGGTCACATGGGTGGGGCTGGATGGGGGGGATGCAAGGAGGTGGGTGATCTGGCTGGTTATCTGGAGGGGAAAGGGAAAGGGGGTATGCTAGCTGGAAAAGGGATTGCTGGGGAAGAGAAGTGGGGAACTGGGGGAAGTGAAGTGGGCTGGACGGGAGAGGGAATGGGGCCAGTTGGCTGTGCTGGGGGTCTCCCATGCTGCAGGGGAAGGTGGGGTGTGTGTGTGGAGGGTCTATGGGACAGATCACTGCTCCCTCCCCACTTGCTGTCTGACTCTTCTTTCACCCAGCAGGTGCGGGGGTCCTGGAGCTCAGCTCCTGGGGAGCCGGCCAGCATGACCCGAGATGTAGGGCTAGACGATGAGCTGCCTGACTGGGCCGGCGCTAAGGAGTTCTACCAGAAGTATGACCCCAAGGACGTCATCGGCAGGTGGGGCAGGGGGAAGGGTCTCGCTCCTTACTTGGGGGGGGGTTTGGGGTTAGGGGGAGCTCTGTGCACACAGAGATGGGCGGCTACATCTGTCCATGACAGGGCTGTGAGCAGCGTGGGGTGGGGGGGGTTGTGGGTGTCAGTCTGTCTATCTCACCAGGGTGCCTGTCTGTCCGTAGCAGGTGGGTGAGCAGGTGATGTTGATAAACTGGAGAGGTTAGAGAAGAGCCATGACAATGATCAAAGGGTTGGAAATCCTGCCTAATAGCGATAGACTTACGGAGCTCAATTTATTTAGCTTAAGAAAGAGAAGGTTGAGGGGTAACTTGATCACAGTCTCTAAGTATTTATGCGGGGGACAAAATTCGATGATGGACTCTTCAGTCTAGCAGAGAAAGGTCTAACACGATCC